GAAGCTGACAGCAAGTACAGAACCAAGAACTTCATCGGATTTCTTTATACTGGTAGTAGTCGTCACATTCACCTTTTTCAGATCGCTATCATTGCTGTTTCCGTTGCTGTTAGTGTTACTAGTGCAATGCAGAGGCGTTCCAGCTACTACACGAACTTTTAGATCACTGGTGAGTTTCAAAACGAGCCTGTCATCGATGAAGTGAAGAGATCCATCCAGAGGACTTAAGGTTAATCCAGTCGGCCATTGTAGTTGAGCTTGATGAGCAGGTATAGCACCGACGCATGGAGCTGGTGACCAGTGATTATGGTGTCCATGGTGTCCAACTAATGTGTGGATGATACCGTGGGGATCTACCGCGCGTATGTTCCGTCCATCAGCGATGTACATGGTCTTGTCGGCAGCGATAGCGATTCCTGTTAATGTTAAATGCATAGAATTAGTTTATCTGTTTACTAGGTTAAGAAGATGATAATAGGCAAATGAATAACTAAAACTTGATCTGAAGTTTACCTTTTGGATGAGCCAATTTGGCACGGATAGCTGGACCTTCGTCACCACAATGACTTTCGTCGCCAGGAATGCACCTTTCTCCGCTTCCAACGACGGGTTCGATATTGAGGTTAGGATGTTGGACGTTCTTCAGCGACAAAGCTTTTAATATTTGATGTTTTTCTGGGTCACTGATATATAAGTGTCCGTCCGCCGGAGAAACGCAGAGATAATATTCGTAAGCCACTTGAGTTGCACTGAAAATACATATTTCATAGCTCATTCAGAAATTCGTTAATCTTAGAGATTAATAACACTATTAGACCATTCAGAAAGATTTCAATAAATAACTCGATCTTTCCTCTTTTCCTAAATATCTCTCAAATTTTCAAATTCCTATATTGCTCCAAACATACCTCAAAGTCAGAACAGTATATACATTTCCTTCGGGTGTAATCCTGCGGACTAAATTGAAGTCTCCTACATAAATGCTTCCATCTGGGCCACTAGTAAGCGCTACGGGTGTCAATAACCTAGCATCCTTAGCCAAACCATCGCAATCCTGGCACACCAAGCTTCTCTGCAGTCCAGTACCCATTACCACCTTCACTGTGCGAGGATACTGCTTGAAATGCATCGTGGTACCATCTCCTTTTTGAAGTATGCCTTCGTGGAAGTTGTAGTGATGGTGAATGTCTAAACCCCAGCCTCCAATATCCGAGATATCTACGTCAAAGCCTTGCAACGTGGCTGTTTGTGTCTCCCAAATCACTGCTGGACAAGTGGAATGTTGATAGCCGATCGAAATTCTCGCCTGTGCCACACCATACACCTTCTGCTTGTAAACGTTTCGCTTGTTCCAGGCGAATGTGTGCGTCAAATTTGGATCTGCTTCGTAGGTCTTCGTGTGCAGTGACCCTTCGATCTCTACGTGTACGTGCACATGCGTCAGCGATTTTGGGATGAATGGCCCGGTCAGCTGCATTCTCACAGTCGATAAGTAACCAGCCGCCTGGCTGCTCTGGTACATCAAGTGTAGATTCGAGCCCGGAATGGCGATGCTCTCCTGGACGATCTGCAAGAAGAAAGGATTCAATGGGATGCAAAACCGGAGAACGGAAACATTGTGTTTGTCAGAAATTTGGTTCTGGATTGGATATCTGAATTTTAGATCAGAAAAGGGACCTGTGTATGAAGTGTGAATATGGGATTATATGATGCATAATAATTGTAGGGTAAAGGTTAGGAATTTTGGACGTTTAGGAGCAATAGCCATATTTGATTTTAATTGCCTAAAATTTGTGAATTACAGTTGAAATAAAGTTGATTTCCAACTTATAATAATTAACGAAGAATGTAAGAGAAAATAATTTACCTGACTTTCAGCGAAGACCAAACTTTTGCCTGGAAGGTCGCCCACTTTTTCTGGCATCCAAGTGCTAACGATGATGGGCCTTAACAGCTCGTGATCGTGCTCCAGGCACGGACCATGTTCGCTAAATAGTCCCATCGATATCCCTGGGGAGCCTATTATATTGTATGCCATAAATGGTAAGGAACTTAAAAACATAAAACACTTAAGGACGGAACAAAGACGGCACACACGAGCAGCAACGGGTCCCTTATAAATTCCTCTTTGCACGTTGAAGAAGGATGACGATGAAGCAGTAAACAATTAAATAACATTCATATTTCTCAAATATGAAAAAGAGAAAAAAAAATAGGAACTGATAAAAAAGAAAACAACAAATTATAACTAAAGGAATTATTACAAACAATTGTTGTAAATAGTTATTATAAATACTTATTATAAATAGTCATCCAATTTTTCAAACATTAGACACTTTGGACCACCGTTCATGTTTAACACCAATTGATTCCGTGACACGACAAAACGTGAAAAAAGGTAGAAAAACAAAAAGAAAAGTAAATAATAATTAGAGATTCATACTTACCGACAGCTGGACTCGGAGGTTGATTAGATTTATGAGATTCGCCTTCCTCGTTAAGGGTCATCACCACAGGAGGCAGAACCACTATTTGATTCCATGGCACGAATACCGTCCTCGTGAGGGGTTTGAAGGGGCTACGCTGGAACTGAAGCGTCACCGCACCGCCTCCGTTCACCAACACGTCGAACCTAATCGAAGTACGTAAATGCATTTCAAACTATACCTTAGCTTCCGGTATTACATCGGGTTTACAGGCTATGGATGATCGATAAAGGATACGCGTCGCTAGAACCTCTTAACCGTCTCGAAATTCACGATTCTGGGGTTAATTTTAACGTTCAGAGTAGTAACACTCTTCCAATTTATTTTATGGACCAAAAACTCTCGCGAGTGAGTTTGATGTTCTTCGATGTACGCCGAGTGAATTTTTGTGAATAGAGGAAAGTAAATGGAATTTGGATGTTATGGTAAAATACAGAGCTTAAAATCTCCTGTGGCTAAACCTTAGGAAGCTCAAATTAAAATAAACATTTTCAGCAATATTTATAACTATAATATATTCTTTCACCAACATCAACAGCAGAGCTTGTGGATATAAAAATTTCTAACAATATGTGTTCAAATATGGTTACTGGCTTCTAAGAGAATGCCCGAGCAGTGCCCTCTATCAGTCGTTCCTGTGACTTTCGTTTAATCGCGCGTTCTCGTCACGAAGCGACATCGACAGGTGGCAAGCTGAACTATGCCATTGGGTCCAGTTCGCCGCAACTTTTACCTGGACATGTTTGAAATCCGATTTGAAAGTCCTCTGTCGCATTACAAGAACAGAAATCATAGGAACGTCTCGCGTACAAGAGATTCAATCATAAGCCGTACTCGTAATCAAGCAACGACAAACGCGTATTTATCAGACAGTCTGGCTGCAATAACTGCCAATCTATCACGGTTCTGTATTCATTAACCCGTGAATACAACGAGGGAATTCTACCTCGAACTTCTCTTTGGGATTACATGAAACTGCAAGTTAGAGAGAGAGAGAGAGAGAGAGAGAGAGAGAGAGAGAGAGAGAGAGAGAGAGAGAGAGAGAGAGAGAGAGAGAGAGAGAGAGAGAGAGAGAGAGAGAGAGAGAGAGAGAGAGAGAGAGAGAGAGAGAGAGAGAGAGAGAGAGAGAGAGAGAGAGAGAGAGAGAGAGAGAGAGAGAGAGAGAGAGAGAGAGAGAGAGAGAGAGAGAGAGAGAGAGAGAGAGAGAGAGAGAGAGAGAGAGAGAGAGAGAGAGAGAGAGAGAGAGAGAGAGAGAGAGAGAGAGAGAGAGAGAGAGAGAGAGAGAGAGAGAGAGAGAGAGAGAGAGAGAGAGAGAGAGAGAGAGAGAGAGAGAGAGAGAGAGAGAGAGAGAGAGAGAGAGAGAGAGAGAGAGAGAGAGAGAGAGAGAGAGAGAGAGAGAGAGAGAGAGAGAGAGAGAGAGAGAGAGAGAGAGAGAGAGAGAGAGAGAGAGAGAGAGAGAGAGAGAGAGAGAGAGAGAGAGAGAGAGAGAGAGAGAGAGAGAGAGAGAGAGAGAGAGAGAGATGACGCTAATGAGTAAGATAGATAGATAGGTAGAAGCGGAACTGTTATCGTTTCGACGAGTTCCGTCAATGTATAATTTCTCTCACGTTCACAGTTCACTATATTATGGTAAAATTTTGCCAGCGATCCAACCGGAGGGGGTAGCAAGGGATAGACGCAGGTCAGACTAATCACACAGGTTTGCACGGAGTAATTAGGAAGCTTTCGACATCATTAGCTCGAGCTTTGATGTGGTTTACCAGGCCAACTCCTCCGGCTCCGTGTTTCAGGATTATCCTCGCCAGGATTACTATATACCTGTTTGATATAGGTGTTTCACCATCTACCCATACTCCATCCAGTTTCCCCATACCCTTCATTACAATGCACCCTTGATCCTATTAGGAAGGACGCCCAAGCTGCCATACACGCCCATCAGGCGCAAATACTACTATATTACCCCATATGTTTGTGTATCTATTGATATGCGATTCTGACTTTTCTGTTTCTCCCTTTTTATTTTAAACAGGAGTGGGGATATTGAGTTGGGTTGTTCGATTGGACGGTGTGAACTGCTGAGGTACTGATTTGGATTTTGCATAGTGTGAGAATTTGATTTGAATGTGGGTTGGTAGACATGTGTCTGCTGTTCGTTTCATCATCTCTTAGTAATTTTGATATACGAGAATATAGAAATCTGCTACAGAAATTATGTATATAGGATTCCCATATATGTGTATATATATGTAATAATTATATAAAAATCTATTACACGTATATATAATAGCTAAGCTGAACTAAAATTGATAATTATCTTGGTCCAGTCAATTGAGTGAATTTCATGTATAATTTCAATCGCTGTTTTTTGTGATACAATGTGATACAAAGTAAAAATTAGTACTCACCATCCATCAGCTCTGGTTAACGTGAATCCAAAGCGAGGGTCCCTGTCCACGGACACCCTGATGCCTACTATTCCAATTCCTTGTTCGGTTACAACTTGGCCTCGCATCACCGCAACTCGACTGTTATAAATCAAAGATATATCGAGATCTTTCGAGATCGGATCGTGTCGTTGATCCGTTGAACCGTGGCACGCTGATTCGAAACATTTTAAATCCTATCGTGTACCAATCAACAGTAATGAAATTCCAATATAAAGAAAAAGAAACTAAAAATATCATCGAAAAAGGACAAGAGAGAGGAAATATACACATATTACAAATTCTACAATTTTTTGTATAAAAATAAAAATAGATTCAACAGGAAAAAGAAAAAAAAAGGAAATTCTCTGGACTAAAATTTCGATCGTGGAACGCATGTATTCCAAAACAAAGTTGTCGAGAGCGCGAACAATCGATTTTGTCTGTCAAATCAGCTTCCGCGGTCAACGGTTCAATGCGATCCAATATTCTCACTTCGCTGCCAATACAATCCGCAACTCCATTCGAGCCGGCCTTTACCGGCCGCGATAGTTCGCGCAAGAGGAGTTAATGCCACTGGTTGAATCCAAAAGCGATACAAATTGATTTTACAAACGGAACAATGCACGCGGCATCGCGTGTATGCAGCGAACCCAGATGTCGCCAGCGTCAGTTTCTCGATCATGCTTACAGGTTAGCTGTCGCATCGTATTGGCAACGACGCGGGAACATTTTCTTTCAGTCACATTCACTTTCTTGCAATTTGCATGGTATTTTGTTCATGGTTGCATTCTTTTAAGAGGTTTTGTTCATTTCTTCTTTTTTTGCTTGACTGTGGGTAGTTGTTCTTTTTTTTTTTAAAGAGTATCGAGCAGATTGTCAATTCGGGAGCAAAAAAGAACACGATCGTCCTGAGGCAGGATAATAATAATAATAATAATAAATAAAGGGCGGGTAGTAAACTTTCGTGAGAGTAGAACTGCATGCATATATAATCATGTATAAATAGATATGTAATAAAGGCAATGAAAATATGTACGTAATAAGTTTCAGGGCTGGATTATCTGCGATATATAAAAGTTGGAGTATGTTGAAGCTGAATATTTTAAGCGATTTGTGTAATAGTGCTGAATATAATGAGATCGATATAGGTAGGTAAGATAATAATAATAATGATGATAATAATAATAATATATAGAGAATATGCTGTGAATCGGGTACATACGTACGCAGCTTGTTATGGGGCGCTGTGTAATGAGCAACGACATTTGTGAACGAAGATATTATATACGGTGATTCTTAATTACCCATCTCTATATGTTTGTGAGACACTGATTTAAGTAAAAAATGGAACTGAAAGAAATTATAATATTAATAATTATTTATAATTACTTTATGTATAAAAATTATGCAGATTATATTTAAAGTGCAAACTGTACAGTCGGAAGCTGCGACTGATTAAAACATTTTGCGCCATGTTTGGGGTATCATATTGTTGGAGAATTGTACAAAAAGTTGTTTAATCGGAGAATGCTGTATGAAAATTCAACAATACCTATAAATCACAAACAGGTTGGTATCAGTGATTAGATATTTTCCACAAATGCCTCCCGCATTTGTAGAATATGGAGAAAGTAATCTATATTCGCAAATAAAAAACATCTTAGAATACTGAGAAAGTCGATAACTTTTCATTCTTGAGACTTAATAATGTATAAAGAAATCAATTAGAATAGAACGTATTTTTCTTTAAAAAAATAATTATAATTACGATAGAGTTGTTCTCACATAAAGAAACTCGAATTTAAAATATTTATTGTAAGTTATCCTGTTTAGTTCATTAGAGTTCATGAAACGTGAAAACACCTTTAATTTACATAGAATGAGTCTACGGGGGTGTCGAGATATTTACATCTACATTTGCCGAATTTATAATCAAGAAAATAGTTCTAATAAATAATATTAAAACAATAATTTAGTTTTACTTTTATAAACAGATTAAACATCTTATATTTGAACATTCACCATGAAATATTGTTCTAATAAAAAATAATGAAGTTCTCTTAACATTCACAGTGCCCCTTCAAACTCATCTACTGGAATATATTTTCCAAATTATTCTCGCGTAATGAAGAATCATCTTTCCTTTGTCAATTTTAGCAAAATATGAAAATATGATAGAACACGTACAACAAGCTGCATAGATGCATTCGATATATGTATAAATATATATATATATTCATTGGTCCCTAAGGGATTGCGTATGGGGGCATGATTCGTTCTTGGAGGATCCACACATTCCCCCGTGAATCGAAAGTCAGACGATATCTAATTCGTCCAAGGGACAAATGATCGCATCATCGTCCCGGAAAGTGAGCAATGCCGTGCACTTCCGGCTGCGCGCACCGTGCCACCATTCTCGTTCCATCGGCGACTTGGGGATCAAACATTACCGGGGTTCTGATCCTCCAAGTACGAGCATAGCAAGGTGGCAGGCACAGTTGTTACTACTGGTAAAAAAATAAATAAGAATAGAAAATCCACAAACCAGAGTGAACGGTATATAAAAAGGAAACGCAAATCAGTTTAACTCAATTTGAAAAAAACGTAACGGAAAGAAGAGAGAAACGGATATATATATATATATGTACATGATATATCTTGTATATATATATATGTAGATCAATTTCAAGACACACCGACATCTGGCGGCGGATACTGAACCTAGATGTGTGCAAGACTGAATAATGGAAACGTAGAAAAAGAAAGAAAAATAGTAAAGAAAGAAAAATCAAAGAATGACGGTATCTCGATAGAGAGATCGCGCGATACACCGACGCAATGCCGAATTCTATCTCTCTTTGCTTGGAAATTTTCCCTCCATCTCGGTCAGCGATACGACGGTTATCTAAGTTATCTTTCATCGCGCCATATTTCTTTTCCTCCCGCGCGCGCTCACTTTCAAACGTATCAATGACTTTCCTCTTTTCTGCCTGCTCTTTTTTCTTCTTTCTCGTTTTGAAAACTTTTCTGTGGTTCAGATACTCGTCCGTTTCTCATTCTCGAATAAAATAACATGTTCTCAAACGATTTCAAATGATCTCTTGATTCTTGTTCTTTTCAAAACGTTCGTATAAAATTGAAACACTCGAACCGCGAGGTTATGCGATATTAATTGAAGGAAATTTTTTGCTGTCTTCTAATTTATAAGAAATTATTTCCGGTTTTTGACGTGAACCACGGACGGATACGGACGAATCGATTTTCTCCAAAAGAGGGTTTCTGTCGTGTTTTGGTATGAGATATAACTTTCGGTGGGTAGATAGCACGGATCGGTTAAAGACAGACACAGGGCTTTTGGTGTAACGGGGTTATTGGCACATTGTAGACAGGTGATAACAGACGTAGACAAGGGACAAGAGAGGGAATGGTCGTTCGGGTCCTTCGTATCATATCCTGTATCATAAAGCTGTGTGTTGAACGGTTCCGATTTCGTAATTATTGCCGATCCGTCGATTCGGAACAATACAACGTGATGTGAACACGTTTTCTCATTCTCGTTTTCATCGTTTATATATATGTATATTTTATTTGATTTTGTACCACGATTTTGTATCTCCTCTACTGCATATGTATGTATATATATATATGTTGATAATGATGATGTATAATATTTTATATCATCAATTTATCTCGACAAACGACGGAAAGGAACAATTGAACAAAAAATTGGAACGCAAGAATATATATGTCTTTGACGCAAGAGGCGCGCAATAAAGTTAGCGTTCGTGTATAAGATGCTAGGGGACAAAAAGTCACTAGAAACAAATTCGACAAGGGGTTATGAAATACACAACGTACATAAAAAAGTGCAAGCCTGGCAACACAAAAAACAACACAAGACCAGACAGGATATATATCGTTACGTAAAAAATTACACGATTGTCAAACATACTATTACTTGGTTTGTAGCCGGTTACGGTATATATCAGGGCGATCATAGTAATAGTAGCTAAGAACTCAGCGCTAAACAGGACAAGATGACAATACATAAACAGAACAACAGAGAAGGAACGAAACAGAATAAAGAGAGAAGTAGAGAGAAGGGCGGACAACGGCAGGATTATAGACAACGATCATCCGACGACATATCACAGATAACACAGAGACACTTCGATACGATTATACTTTCAATGTAGGTGTGAAGAGAGTGCTCGACCCTTTGGCTGTGGCGATACGTTCACGCGATTTCGATTGATTTTAAATTTTCCCCGTTTGAAGGCTATCGGTAAAGTAGATTCGTTTTGTTATCGACCCGTCAAAGTCCCTAGATTAAAGGCGAAACAAATGCGATTTAGGTTTCGAATTTTGGTATCGTTACAGGGCTACAACTCAACTGCTAAACGAATCAGCGTAAATTTTGTTCGATTATCAAATACTCGAATTCCCTGTGTCGTACAAAAGTGATATTAACGAAGCTGGACCATCGAACCTCGTCGAAATTTGTTTTTCACGCGAACAGTAAGCGGCAGCCGTCGAGTCGGAGATGACAGAAACAAATACGCAGGTAGACAGGTAAAAAGGTAGCGACGGAACTAAAAAATGACAGAGCGACAGAATGGAAAGAAGAGAGGAAAACGATAGACAGGCGATTAAAAACGGAGTATAGAGGGTTTGAAAGGGCGGAGAGACGAGTCAAATAAGCGAGGTATGATCAAACACTGGCAAACATAATTGGTAACGTAACTGAATCGATAACAGGCTGAACCAGGGTCGATAGAATAGAAGAAATATAAAGAGCGTTGAAAAAGACCAACTGGGAATATATATAGAATAGTATAGAGACAAAAACAATAACTGAAACGGAGAAAGAGAGAAAAAGAGAGACGTGATACGCAGGCTAAGGGTATGAACATACGTATACATATATAGATAGATTACATATAATGGGACATACGAAAAAACATGTAAGATGAATGTTACGAGCGAAACGAGCAAATAGAAGGTAACTTTTTCTTGCTTTTTTTCTTTCATTAAAAAAAAATTCTGTTTTTTTTTTCTTTTGGATTAATGAACGATTAGCGAGAGAGCTTGAGCTGCAACTTACCGCGGTGTAAAGGAACTCCAGAACGTACTACGTGTGGGAAAAAACCAACGAGAAGAAAGGGCGTTACCACGGTCACAGAACCCGCGTTTGCGGGCAAAAAAACGGACGCGCGTACGCAGCATTGCGCGAGCAATCGTCTATTTCGCATAATCATACCTTATTGACTTTATTCCCTTTCTTTTGCATCGTTTTTCATTTATGTATTTCAAATTTTCGCGCCATCGCGGCATAACCGTTTCGATATAGCGAACCTCGATTCCCTCTCTACGATTGTTTCGATCGGAGGTTAACTTCCGAAGGTTCATCCCCACTACACGACTCTAGACATCTCCCCCACCCCATTGCACGTTCGCGCCAAGTTTGATCGTGTACGCGCGAATCTCGCGGCGAAAATCGAATGCTCTATCGCAATGTTCCGCACGCCGTTACAGAAACAATAGACGTAGACACACACTAATCAAGCGTACCCATCACACACGCGATCTTCGCCAGTCACGCAACATGAACGCAGTCACTCACAGACTCATCCAACATAGAGTGGTAATACACGTGACAGACACAAGTTGGAAACTACGCACACACATCTGTATATATACGACGATTATACACGTGTATATAATATATATATATATGTATGTATATATAATAATATCCATATATAAGTAAATATATATATGTATATGTAATATATAAAGGCAGAGTAAAGAGAGAAAGAGATGGAGAGCTCCAGCGCGTCTTCGCGTGATCGATGCATTTGGAACGGGTACTGCACACGCGTTAACGAGACATGGCCGTCGTCGTTTCGTTTGGAATCCAACATCGACGTCGATTCGAGATTCGTCCCGTATCGAGGGAGTCACGAGTAACGGGTGTCGCACGAAGGATCCTCTTATCGCGTCGCTCATCGAAGCCGAGCCTCGAACTGACAATGAGGAGAGATTCCATCGGAGCTTGGACTGCCATGTTGGCAGACGATCTTCGAATATTGATTACGCTCTGTCCGAGCAATCCCGATGCCAACCTGAATTTCTGATTCACCGGGATACTTGTATGCAGTCTGTACGCTCGAGATTCCATTGAAAGTGGTGGGGAGAATTAGCGTTCTCTGAGTCGTTTCATAAAAAACGACCCTTTCTTTCTTTCGCTTCGTGAATGATCCAAATTAATTTTATACTATGATACAAACTGCAAGTCCTACTCTACATATTTTAATTTTATATTTTTTCCAGAAAGGAGAAAGTAGTTACCGTAGTATGATTGGAAAACGGTGATTCTATGTAGAGATAAATCAAAGTTAAGAAACGAGTATGCTTCGCCTTGGCGGGAATTTTGAATATTGATATTGATTGATTGATGATCGAATATTTGATAGAAGTTATCTGACTGATCGTGACTGTCCTGAATTTTCAACTAATAAATGTTGATATTAAAAGTACTTCGAAACGTTAAAATTGATTGTAACTCATTTATGAAAGCTTGAAAAAATGATAGAAGATGATTCTGTTAAGTTTAACGAAATTCGTGTATTTGATTTTATGTATGTAATTATATATTGCCACCATTTTTAGGTGAATTTTATTATCAATTCAGCAAATTATTATATTTGTGTAAATGTATCAAAGATAAATGTTAAAAAGCAAATAATTCACAAGGGGTTTCATGTTTTACATCAGCATTCAAATGATTGTCATAAAAAGAACAAATAAGGTCAAATAAAATTCCTTCGTGTAATATGCATCAATAAATATATGAAATTTTGAAATAGAATTAATGTTTAAACTAAGCAAAAGATATAAAAAGATAGAAGCTGTAGGTTGCAATGTTGTGAATTTGAAGAAAAATAAAGCTCATGTTATTATACAAATATTTTCTCTACCACTTTCTTATGCTTTCACTAATTGTAAGTGGAAAAGCTTACCTCAGTTCCTAGAATTATCTTGTAAACCACAATTTCTTTGTTCGTTACACAAAATATTTATATATTTAATCAGGATGTTTTTCATCTAGTTACCATATCTTTCTAAGTACGTCCTTCTGTCAAAGTTTAAATTTTCTCTCCGAAACAACTAAATAAAAATCTAAGTAAAAAATACGAAATAAAAACCATTTTAATCAAATGCAAAAACAGACAGTCTGGTTATAACAATTTTGTTTCTCGTGCGTTGACATGTTTTATTTACAAAGAATCATTCTCGTCTCCAACCATAATTTACATATTAATTTCGTATCCTTTAGTCATTTAAAGTGCCCTCACCGTAAAAAGAGATTGTAATTCTAACAGCGTTTTAAATGCAGACTGTACAAAGCTTATACCATTCTTTCGACCGGTGAAACACGTACGCGTAGCCTCCCAAGCAGAGTAGTTGCGTATGTAAAGCACATACAAAAAAAAAAAAAGAAAAAAAATTTTATCCATGTGGATCGAAGTGGAAGAAGCGTTTCAAGGCGGCAGCAAGGGTGCTCGGAGAAAGTCGGTGATCAATACCGCGACGAAACAATGGGCGCTACAACAGGACCAAACAAACTTCCGTTCCGCTCTCCGTACGTCTCTTTCTCGGACACACACGGAACTATCGTGTATCATACGCAGAACGTTCGATTTCGTGGTGTTGAACTGCTAGTGGACGCGCGAGAAAAGCGACCGAACCGCGACAGATTTCAAACTTGTGTCTACCATTTCTAGTAATAATTTTACCCGTGGGCGATCGACTCTCGGAATTCGTTGTTTCTTTCTATCGATGTTCCCTCGTACTAAAATAATTCAAGAAAAAGCAACAACAGATTGTAGTCTGATATTTGTATCAAAATATCTCCGGATAAAAACCGCGACTCGACCGCCCTCGTGCGCTTTATCTATGAATCTCCCATTGTCGGTGAACTGCTTAAACAAATGGCCGAAATAGCTGGTAAGTCACAAGAGAAATTTGGAAAACGACACGGTCTGCTTATCGCGTTACCGTTCAAAGGTTAAGTATTATTCTGTTCGTATGACGCGCTTGTTTTACGGAACAACGCGATGCCTAGAAGCTGTATATTGAAAAAAAAAAAAAAAAGAAAAAACTTCGCACGGATAACTTAATCCACTAACCGACCGAGAATACCGAAAATTCAGTCTCTCGAATATTTTCTCCGTGTGCAGACTTTTTTTTTTCAATTTCTTTGTCTCTTTTTCATCTTTTTTCTGTCTTTTTTTTTTCTTTCGACAGAATTTTGGTCTGTACTTCACAGTCTGTACGTAGAACGGAGCCTCTTTCGGTCTTCGGCTGTAGGGTGAATGGTGATCTGGTGGTGGCAAGGGTACACACAGAGGATAAACACTAGACAAAATACACGAATCCCCCGAAATACGCTCGCTGCCGCTCCGATGCGTCGGTCAGCACGCGTCCCGAGCAAATCTTCATCAGTGTCGAACAAAGGATGCTGACCGTGAACGCGCCCGATCAAATTTCTCGCTTTTATTCGCTTATCGAATTACCAAAGTGACGTATATTCGCGATATACTTCCATGAAGTTATTACTCCTTTATCTACATGTTACAGGGAACAGATGAATATACTGTTCGTAAACAGAATGGTTTCTTTATTTCGGAGGCTATGTGACACAAAGGATAATTCTACCAACGCTTGGAAAATAAAACATTGGTTTGTTGAGTTAATAGATGGATTCGAAGCGTATTATACGTCTTGAAATTGAGCGAAGGGTTTCAGTAAAAGGAGTTCTATAATTATTTAGTTCATTCAAAATACACGCTCGAGCATCATCTCCGAGGCTGATTGTGCGCAAAGCTATATTTATAATATTGGCAAGTTACAAAATTAGGTTAACTTAACAATAGGATAAAATTCGTTTGTTGCAACGGTAAGCGACGATTGGATAGCATTGAAACTGCACGTAAAGTAATTTTTATCCTATATGGTTACTTATAAAGTTACTAGATAGCTTTATTCTCTCGTTTCACCCTATGTTCGCTTTACGTCTATTTCAAATTCCCTAGCTATTCAGCAAAGCAAACAGTTTTGAAACCCATTTATCAAAACCCTTTCACTATTCTTAAGACACGGAGAAAACACATATTTTTGTTATTTTATCAAACAATAAGTTACTAAAGCAAATATCAACGATTTAGTTTCATAAGGTGAAAAAGATTTGCAAAACGCGATTGCTTGGAAGAACCTTCGCGAATTCACCTCGCGAGACAAGATTCATAGCGTGGCATGAAACAGGACTAAACTGCTAGCAATTAATATCAGATGCACGCGAGGAAGCTCCTTTGATCGACAATGCTTCCGAGATGATCACTGACGCGTTCGGCATTCGGGGGAGGGAGAGGGTGAAACACGAGGAATAGGATGGTTAGAGGGTTGGCAGGGTTGTCACCCACCGGGGGCTCTCTTGATAATTCAGCTGTCACGGATATACCGGATTGTTTGGCATGGCGGTGCAAGTAAATCTGATTCAATCTTTTTTTCTTCTTTTCCACTCTTTTTTTCGACACTGAAAAATTGCTCACGATGGGGAAAACGCTACTCGAGTGCAAGAAAACAGTTTAACAACGAAACAATTCCCTTAAATAATTCCTTTTTCATTGTGATCTTCTATGTTTCGATATATTTGGAGAAAAAAAGGAAAAAAAAAGCAAAACGACTAAAGACAAATATTTGTAAACTGAAGTGTAATAATATTTGACAACTATTGTAGTATATAAATCGCTATAAAAAATATTTCCTTTTTCTTTTTTTTAATAATCCATGTAATATTTGAAGAACAATTTAGAACTTTGATAATTTTATCGTAACAGATCGATACGAAAGGGGAGATTGCCGAAAGTTATGCAACGAACGATTTTCCTATGGTATTTTACTATTTTGCCCCATCGTGAAGCTTCGTCGGAAAAAATGGACCACGTAAACAAAACTCTTCGGCGGAACCATCGTCCGTGTGTGATCAGACACGTTACGCTTCTCGAATGATACGATGTGCTTCTCTCACGTTTTTTTTTTTTTTTTGCGTGTATATATAACACATACTGCACATATGTGTATACATATATTCTTCGGGCTTTTTTTTTTTTACGTGAAACACATCGTTAACGTACCGTACGGGTAAACAAAAACAATGTCCCTTCTGAATGAAATCAATGATCTGCGCAGTTCTCGTGGATGATAAAAACGAGGAAAGTAACAGCCGCGTAATATGTCAAACGCATTCGAAAAATGTAAAAGGCCAGAAACTATGACACGCAGCTATGCTATACGTTTCTTTTTTTCTGTTTGTTCTTTTCTTTTCTTTTTCATTAGTTAAACGGTACGTGTAAGTATCGACGACTATCGAACGAGCCAGACGTTGTTATGATTGAAAATTAATCTTTCCCAGATTTTTCCATTTTATCCCGTTGGATACTCGAAAGGGGGAACAATTGAATGTTTCCTGCAGTATCTAGTTTTAAAGATCGAAGAAATTCGTTATTATTAAATAAAACATTCCGACCGGTTATTTATATTTTTCAATTTCTAGAGATGTGGCAATGCTAATTTAAAAAATATATTTTCTTTTTGAATATTTAAAATACACAGATTCTCCCATGGTATGCATATGTATCAATGACAAATACATTAATGCAATACAAGAATGGAATATTTTTAATATTTCAAGGATAAATTAAACCCTCTATTTAACATGGAATTAAATTTCAAGTAGTTTCTACTAATTACAAAGACAAACATTCTATTCTCTGACAACTTCAAATATACACTTCAACTTTCAAATATTTCCACTAATTAACTCCGATTACAAAATTGTAAAAGGTCTGTGACACATTCAAACCTTCCCTTTCATGTCCCTTCTTGCTTGTCACCGATGTAATTAATACAATTTTTCTATTGAATCAGCTAATGAAAGAAATTTTTCTTAGAAGCTGAAGAAAAATTCAATGCACTTGATGTCATGTCAACGACTCGCTCGTTCTTCTAAACGCAATTATATCCTGTTAGACGTCGTAAAAATAAAGTATATATAACTAAGCGTTCCTCTATAAATATTAGAATGATTGACTGAATGTAGAACCGTGTGAGAAGAAGTGGTCGATCTTACCTTTCGGTGTACTCGTTCATATGAGCGTAGCTTTGTACGCTGTTCTCCTCAACGAGGAATTTCACGCGCTGGTAAAAGGACGCGGTCACGCTGGGCGGTTGTTTGCGGAGAAGGACGTCCACGGGATTATTACTAGTAAGGCACATGATATGCTCTGCGCAAGCTGCGTGCGAGCAACACTCGCTGTCAGAACAGTCCATCATGCCATCTAAGAAACATTACTTCTTATATCAAACGTTCGCTGAATATAGATATCAAGAAATTATCGTTTAATTTTAATTTTGGATAAAACTCGATTTTTATTGAAATTCTTCAGGTATTTTTAGCTTTGTTAGAGCTGTTTAGGAAGTTCGTAATTTTATTGGAATTCTACAGGAATTGTGAAATCGCCTTAGAAGTTTTTGGAACTTTAGGAATTTGTAACGTATCAAAAGAACGTGTATTTAATTTCACTACAGTCTTTGAATCTTCCGTCGAAATTTAAAACATTTTTTAATCTTCAGGGCAATAGGAAAAAATTAGATATTACTGTAATAGAAAATATTTGAATAGCCTTTAAGGCTGTTCCACAATGAGACACCTATATTTTCTATAAATATTTGCCTTCGTTTTTTTAGGTTAGATCAAAATAGATGAAATAGTAAAGCGGTAGAAAAAGTATATATTATGAAAAATTA